CACCGACAGTGTTGGGAACATCTACACTTCGTACGGTTTGGTCTCCGTCGTGTCCATTGCGGAAAAATACGGTAGTGCAGCGTTTAGGGCGAACTTCGCCACTGCATGCACTGAAAGCACCTTGGTCACGGGCACGCCGGACACCGACAGTGTTGGGAACATCTACACTTCGTACGGTTTGGTCTCCGTCGTGTCCATTGCGGACAAATACGGTAGTGCTGCGTTTACGGCGAACTTCACCACTGCATGCATTGAAAGCACCTTGGTCACGGGCACGGCGGACGCGGACAGTGTTGTAACCAACTACACTTCGTACGGTTTGGTCTCCGTCGTGTCCATTGCGGACAAATACGGTAGTGCGGCGTTTACGGCGAACTTGGCCACTGCATGCACTGAAAGCACCTTGGACACGGGCACGGCGGACACCGACAGTGTTGGGAACATCTACACTTCGTACGGTTTGGTCTCCGTCGTGTCCATTGCGGACAAATACGGTAGTGCGGCGTTTAGGGCGAGCTTCGCCACTGCATGCATTGGAAGCACCTTGGTCACGGTCACGGCGGACACCGACAGTGTTGGGAACAACTACACTTCGTACAGTTTGGTCTCCGTCGTGTCCATTGCGGACAAATACGGTAGTGCGGCGTTTAGGGCGAGCTTCGCCACTGCATGCATTGGAAGCACCTTGGTCACGGTCACGGCGGACACCGACAGTGTTGGGAACAACTACACTTCGTACGGTTTGGTCTTTGTCGTGTCCATTGCGGACAAATACGGTAGTGCAGCGTTTACGGCGAGCTTCGCCACTACATACATTGGAAGCACCTTGGTCACGGGCACGGCGGACACCGACAGTGTTGGGAACAACTACACTTCGTACGGTTTGGTCTCCGCAGAGTCCATTGCGAAATAACGGTAGGGTGGCGTTTAGGGCGAGCTTCACAACCGCGTACATTGCATGCACCTTTGCCACGAGCACGGCGACCACCGACAGTGTGGTAGCCATCAACAATACGTCCGGCGTGGCCTCCGTCGTGGCCATTGCGGACAAATACGGTAGTGCGGCGTTTAGGGCGAACTTCGCCACTGCATGCATTGATAGCACCTTAATCACGGGCACGGCGGCCACCGACAGTGGTGTGAACATCTACTATTCGTACGGTTTGGTCTCCGTCGTGTCCAATGCGGACGAATACGGTAGTTCGGCGTATAGGGCGAGCCTCGCTCCTGCATGCATTGTGTGCACCTTGGTCACGAGCACGGAGGCCACCGACAGTGTAATAGGCTTGTGGATTTCGTGTGGATTCATCTCCGTCGTGTCCATTGCGAATTAGTACGGTAGTGCGGCCTATAGGGCGAACCTTGCCACCGCAGGTATCGAGTGCATCTCGGCCACGAGCACGGTGACGACCAATAGTCTGGTAAGGATAAACCTTTCGTACGGCTCGGTTTGGATTGGCTCCGCTGTGGATGAGTAAGAGAGCGTGGCCTTCAGGGTGAACGTCGTCACCGCAGGTATCGCGTGCATCTTGGCCACGAGCACGGCGATCACCGACAGTGTGGTGAGCATCTACACTTCGTACGGTTTGATCTCCGTCGTGTCCTTTGCGGGTGGCTCAGAAGGGCATGTGTTCAAAGATTTTTGCGGCGGTCGACAGCTTGTTCATGACATGCTCATGGAAGTGGCGGTTTGGTGGCTCGATGCTTCATAGAAAGTGTTAGGCCTGATTTCTTCTAGACAGCACCATGTACCTAAGGAATTATGAACAACTCTCCTATTATTATCAGCCAATAGGACGCAAGAATTTGTCTCTGTATGGACAGCACAATCTCTGTAAAGACCATCTGATGGAGCGGTAGTGAAAGAGTTAAGAAGCAGTGCATCATGCACTGCTTCGCATGATGCATTGCAGACTATCTAAACTGCATCTTTGCGAACTCACCGTTGGTGTAGCTCACGATGGGGAGGCATTACCATAATCCAGTAGAAAAGTACTGGATTGCCCCAAACTGATTGGTTTTTTCAAAAGTACAGTAGAAAACCGTTAAGTATGCAAAAGGAGCAAGCGAACTTATCCAATTGGATTTCTTGGATACCTGTAGAATACTTTGGTTTGTGAGCTTACGTCTCGTTTAAAGCTTCGATCTCAGCTCAACCTCAACCACTTTGCCTCAAAAGCCAAGGAATAAAATAGAAGCTGATTTGAGCCCCGGCCATGATCTATACCAAAGGAGCTGTGAACGTATGTGTAGTACTTTTGACTTTTTTTTCTGGAATAGCAGACGCCCCAAAAGCATGTTTTCTATAATTTGTTAACCCTGTGACTGATGAGCTGAATCTGGCAGCCGAAATCAGTTACAGAGCCGGTATTAAAAAGATGTTTGCATCGGGTTTAATATTGCGATAAAGCATGTGCAATATGCTTCAGACGATTTTCGTTGTTTAAAGAAGAAAAATTACGGCTGCAAGATCGCGTATTTGTACGATCGACAGTGTTTCTTACTCCAACTACAGTATCAGTATTTCAAGATCGGAATTAGCTTCACTGACATGCAAGAGTGTGGACCCGTCTAAACTGCTGCCTGCGAAAGGGATTAGATAGGTTGTCCAAAGATAACCTTACGCTACTAAATAGGTGCCACGAAGTGGAAATGGTGGAGATACTTAGCCTCAGCTCAAAGACCATTTTCGCTATAGTCGCTGCGCATAGTTTCTCTTTTCAACAGACAAGGTGGCTGTAAGAAGAGATCGAACTTATAGGTTAATGACTTCAAGTTATCCAAACTTACTGTTAAGCTTGCAATCAACCCAAGCTTAATTGAGGTATCAGTAGCGCTAATCGTCGAAGATGGCTACACAAGCTTTATCTTGCAAAAGGGGAAAGGCCCAACTGCTTGTTGCATGAAACTGGAGCGATGTAACGGACGCAAATGCGCTACACTCTTCACGCAGCAGCTGAATTGTCAAACTACTTCAGTTTTTTTTTGATATCGTTCACGTTATAAAAGCAAGTAATAATAACGCTCAAAAATAATTAGTTTGGGTACCTACAGAAGCTCACGACTACAATTATCACTTCGCTGCCGGCCGAGAGTGACTCTACGTATGCGGACACCACCCTGAGTCTAGAGTGCGTAATTTGGCAACGCGATAACATAATACATTACATTACACTACCTACTGTCGCTCGACGAAAGTTTTTTTAAACTCGCTATGTTTGGTGTGCGAACTTAATAATTTGGCGACCGAGTTGCATTTTCTACTGGCCCCCAGTACTTTTCTACTGGATTATGGTATTTCCTCACTGGTGGGCGAATCATCTGACCAACATAAATCGAACAGCGAACAATGTGCCCGGTCTCCTTCGACAATCCTTAATTATCAGTACTGGTATGAGGACACTTCACTGAATCACTCACTACATGTATCGGTACATGAACTGAAGTCTTCAAAGATTCGATGACCAAGGATTACAAATCTCCAGTTGTTTTCAGAACTAATACTCGTTTTTGTAAGTGTTTGAGTGGCAAGAAGTTTGGACCTTTTGATCAAAACTGCTTTTTGTACTGTATGTGAGCTACCTGATGAAGTGCAAAAAGGCTCTTCATCTGCGTGTTTCAGAACTACTGTCAAAACCGCACCTTAAAATGATAAAAAATCAACTGAGCTACGGAGAAAAAGTGGGTGGCCGGTTTCAGGAGTGTACTGTCCATATCATAAGTAGATCACCGTACCACCAATTGGTTGAGCTGGTCGCGCTACCAACCTCACTCGATTCACAAACAGATCACCGCACCACCACTTGGCTGAGCTGGTCGCGCTACCTACCCCACTTTGCAACTCGCCTTCCAAACCCCAACCGATTCCCGCAATTAAGTGCCCAGCACCAACCATGCGTTTGAGCTGCGTGTTGCTGATTGCTTTGGTCGCGCTCCTATCTAGCTTCGATCAAGTCTCGACAAAAACTAGTGACGACGCTTTGACGATGAAAGCGTTGCGCCAAGGAAATGCTGTTGCTACTGTTACAAACAACAAGCGGTTACTGCAGACTGAACTACCCGGTTCAAGCGCTATTCTGGAAGACAACGAAGAGAGAGCTTCTTGGGGTTTGAAGAAACTGGTGAACTTGTTCATGTTTAAAGGAGCCTCGAGCAATTTTTCCACCGCTAAGTTGACAAAGATGCTGTCGGATCCCGCGTTTAAGAGCGAAATGTTTAAGACATGGAATGCGAAGTACAGCACTGAGAAAGTCATAGCGATACTCGATTTAAGCAAGAAGAAGAACATTCCCTACGGACCGATGCTGCAAGACTTTCGCAACACCTACGGACGTCGACCAATTAAGCCGCAGTAGAACATTGAGTTTACTTGTAATTTAGCGTCAACTGGGGAGCGGATTAAAATCGCGTACAGTGTATCTAACGGATGACCGCCGTGTGCGTCTTTATTTCGGAGTACCACCGAGTAACGTTTACTTCGAAGTACTAGTAAATCATATATTAACTGAGCGCCAAGGGTGACAGCTCCGATTTGTCGGAGCTAGTTAAGCCTTCAAGCGGCCTCACGTCTTGATCTTAGGCGAATTCACTAAAATCAAGGACCTGTTCCGCAAAACCTCTAAAAGTGAACAGCAGATTTACTTTTTTTTTAGATTGATACCTTCCGCTGTACTTATTAGAAAATCCGCTGGAACCACACGAGGAACACCCGGATTTTGATTCATTTGCAGTGGAAGACACTCTTAAAAGTGGTATGGAAAGCAATAAAAGAAAATAAAGTTTACTTGAAAAAAGAGATGAGAAATGTCTTGCAAACAAGTCTTTGAATTAATCCGAGTTGTCCGCTGTATAAACACGTATCGGTGCCTTCTGTTCTACCGAGTACTGCAAGAAGCAGCAATAAGCCCCTGCGCATAAGCAATGACCCTCATTGAATCGCTGAGTGCATTTGCCTCCTGTTCGCCGTTCTTGGCGGCATCGCACGCGGCCACTACGGCGGCGCCTGCCTGTTTTGGACGCCGGGTGTCCTCCGACTGGGCCAGTCTCCGAACACCACTCATGTTCGTCTATGATTTTCTATTATACTTCATACAACAGGGGTTTAGCTGTTCGCCCGCTAAAAATATCCTCTATCTGCCCAAATTCGGGATAGAGGATTTCGCCTAAATTTCCTCTTGAATCAGCATTTGGAACACGTGTAGTGGGTCTCAAACTCGAACACACACTATTATAAATAGGGAAGCTGGCGCTTCCTGTTGACCTTGATCTATTCTTTGTCTTGAGGTAAAACTCAAACTGCCCAAACTTACTACTACGACTTGTCGGTAAGTGACATCACGTCCTCGACTATACCGTACTATCCTCAGCTATACCTTACGTCCTAATGCCAGCTTGGCCACACGTTCTGTGCGGCCCAGTGCAGTGGGCAAGGCTTGGTCTTCAAAGCACCTGCCACTACACCGCCCCTTCAAGCCTTGACCACTCGCACGATGCTTTAAACACGCAAAGCCAAATCATGTTCGTGAGTGTTGCCCGAATGCTGCTTGAATGTACAAATGTCCTTGTTCATCATTCTTGTTTCACTTCAACTTACACCCTTTGCAAATCTTGCAGACCTTGCAATATGCTTCAGAAGCATGTTGCTACTAGCTTTCTCAGCGTATAACTGGACCATCACTCGGATGTCCTTCCAGAGCGACTGTAGCGGCTCCCACGAGTCTTCTATGGCCTCAAGCCCCTTCCAGGACACTAGGAGCTCATAGTCCTTCTTGGCTGCGCACCAACGGTGCTCCTTTAGCTCCGCCATAGCCAGGATAACCCCTTGGGATGCTACATGCTCTCTTACTTCTGCTGTCACATTGTAGTCTTCCGCGAAGGTCCATTTCCCCTCTCGCGGCTGTCTGGGAAAGCCAAGGAATGGGCTCTCGGCAAGTTGGTTGTCGATCCCAACGTCTTCCCCACTCTGGATACCCTCCAGAGTGACCTTCGGCTCGCGTTCGAGCCGCCGCAAGATGAATCCCGAATTCGGGCAGACTTCTTCGCCCTTCGGCAAGGCACGACTACGTCCAGAAGACACGACACCTCGCGTCGTGCATCGTGTCTAAGCCGATTGATATGGCCTCTCAGGTTCATGTATTCGTGTTCGGTATGCGCGAAGGCATGACGCGCTACTGCCTTACAAGATCGGACCCCTCCACGCTCGAAGGGCATTCGCCCTCGCCCTACGCGAGGACTACGTGGTCGCGGCGTCATACGCTCACGCGCTACCTGCTTCAGCTCGGGAGTCTGCGCCCGAGCCCATGGACATCGACGCTATCGATGCGACGAGCAATCGTCAGCGTCATGTAGTGCGTCGAAGCGGTGCTCGGAACAATCGTTCTCTCACCTGCTTCCGCTGTCGGAAGGTCGGTCATCGCGCGGCGGAGTGCCGCGCGCCAGCTCCAGTGCTTGCGCATGTCGATGCCGAGCCCGTGAGTTCTGACCAGCCCAAAAAACGGTCAGGGTCAGTAGGTGCGGGGCGCCCTACTGGCTGGAATGGAGGTCCGGGTCCCCCGGTGGCAACCCAACCTCCTAGCCCTCCTGTGCTGCATGCACACTTTCATGCCACCACCACGCCGAGCGATTCAAGATTGATCATTGTCAGTCTTCATGTCGCCGGTGCCCGGCGACCACTGCGAGCGCTCCTTGATTCAGGAGCGACCAACAACTTCTTCCGCGCGTCGTGCTTGTCGGTACTCCCGTCGGACATCACTGTCCGCAAAGGTAGAGGGGAGGTCGCTGTCAAGTTGGCCGATGGGAAATCACGCCGCGTCGCGCGGCGCGAGACTGCACTTCTGTAAACGTTCGACGGTTTCCGAAGCAACGACGACTTCCTCGTCATTTAGATGAATTTACGCGTTTTGACTGCATCCTGGGTATTCCGTGGCTGACGCGCTATCAACCAGAGATTGACTGGTTGGCCCGGTCTGTCAAGCGTCGCAGTGGTTATGATGTGAGCGAGGTGTTCACGCACCTCCTGGTCGCCCAGAAGGATTGGCGTCACGTCACCGTCGTAGACCGGTCATCCACGACGAACGTTGTGCACAGAGTGAGCGATGGCCCTCTCTGCACGGCTTGCGCAGTGCTGTTAACTGACGAGTCCCCGCGGCGACGCGGGGATGAAGACCAACTGGCGGTCGAGCAGGGGCTCCCGCAGACGAACGAGGCTCGACCGCGGTAGTGTTCA